AAGTGCACGGCACTCCCCTTCTGACACCTTCCTGCTAAGACCGAGCAGGCTGAGTGACCGGCGCTGTGACTCACAGGAGCTCTGCTGTTCCTCTCTGGCAGTGTCACATCTGGGGCAGGGTGGAAAGCAAGCTCCAAGTAAGGCATCGAACGTAAAATGTACTCTTGAACTTTTTCTTGCACAAGATAAAGCTGCAGCAGACGTTGCCATGGGTAGCGAATACGGACGAGGCGCACAGCCGTGCAGTTCCCAAGTATTGCTCCTAAATGTGCTCCCTTGTGCAAGACCTCAGAGGCCCAAATCTGTGGTCGAACCAGATGCTTTCTAAATTATTCATGTGCTAGCACTGGGCCAGCAAAATTGGTTAAATGCGTAGTTAATTCCAAAACACTTTCATTGGAATATTGGGTGGGGAGACAAACCAAGAGCCACCCGAGTGATCTGCTTCACAGGGAGCAGAACGTCTGGACCAGCATGTGCCAAGACGATGCTCTTGAGCAACACTGAGAAAAGGAAAAGTTACGTGAGTAAGACTCTGTTGGTCCCACAAATTGACAACACTTCACTTGTCTAAGTTGGCTGCTCACCTGGAGCATCCCACGGTCCTTCAGTCAGCTTTGACGTTAGTTTTTGAAGTCATGAAATCATCTTCCCACATCACTGAGAAGTTACTTCTTCAGTTTTCTTTATCCAGCATTGTCCTAATTCAGATTTTTGCAAAGAAAATGCAGTATAAATCAAAAGTCATTTCACCACATTTATTTTCAAATTGTTGTTTTATGACTTCTAGTGGCCGTGCTGCTGGCGTGGCAACGCTGTTGTTGTGCAAGCTTGGAAAATAAGAAAGCCTGAGTTATCAATGTTATTATAAATAGTTATTAAAGCTGACAGGATTTTAAATGTTGTTATTAACTTTCTTAATGTTAACTCGAGGGTAGAGTGAGATGATGAAATGTGGCTCTGGCTGTCTGGCAGCTGGTGGGAGTGCCCCACCGGACCGTCCGCAGTTGGAGCTCAGTCATCCTTCCTCAGCTATTCCTTGCCTTGGGAAGGGAGGGAAAAAGCAACTGGTTGCTTTTCTGAACTTTATCTGCTTGCATGGATTGGGTTTTATTGAGTTTTGGTGGCTTTGTGGTAGGCTGTTAACAAGGCACTCGATAGGTGTGTGCTTCAGTGGTGAAGTTTCTACATACAGATGCAATTGCCAGTGAGTTGGCAAAGGCTAAGGACATGAGGCAGTTTCCCTTATGTGAGACTCCGAAATGAGATGGGTATGACAAGGTACCAACAAAAGCCAGATTTTATTTTACCAAGAGCACATCATTTTTACAAGAACATGATTGTTATCTTCATCAGTAAATGTAAGTTGGGGGCGTGTACCTCAACAAATATGATACGAAATGTTTGAATTAAGCCCAGAAAGTGCAGAACTGTTTGCTTTTCACTTAATTTTTGTGGATCATGTGCGCATCTATATTTTTGAGGAGTAACTTTGATATGAATGTGAAGATTGGTGCCAAAACACATCTGTTAGCAGCTTTTAATCTTCACGTTTGACAAAGCGTATAGACATGGACAAATTGTAATTTACATGATGAAACCGCAGGGTGATGGATTGCTGCAGTGGCATGGAATGCCACAGAAAGGAAATAAATTTCACAAGATAAAAGGAAGGGGTTGGAGTGCATTTACTTATAATAGTAAGCTTTTACAGGGTACGTGCACTACAGCGTACTACTACCTGGGCTCAAATCTACTCGAGTAAATCCTCTTCAGCAAATAAGGCTTTCTTTGGGACTCTGCTTTGTTAGAAAGGGGATTATTTGGTTTTTGAGGGTCACTCTAGAGTAGAGGTTGAATGAACTTGAGTTGCTTTCCAAGATAAACACAACCCCAGAACAAAGCATATCTGGGTTTACTGTTACATACAATGGTCTTTTAAGAGCTTGCACCTGGCGTGACACAGCCAATGTTAAAAGCCTGTGAAGAATTGCCAGTGCAACACATGGCACAGCCCACTGACAGCTCCAGAATTGCTCTGGACTGGGTATGAGCTCCTTGCCAGGAATTGAGGTTCACATTGCAGCGATATGCAGCAGTTAAGCATTTATCACCCTTGTAATGAGTTTTAATTGCTCGTAATCTTTCCTGAAACTCTCTGGTAGAGATGATCTCTGCTTGTGCCTTCCTGTTGCTTTCTGATGCCATGAAATGCTAGATCTGGGCTAACTAATTTCCCCTTTGTCTTCCTCTTCACCTGCAAATATATGGTAAACTAGCAGCTTCCCTGTGGGTTATGTCCCACAGTTAGGGCTCGGTTTGGCAGTCATGGAGGGCTGAGGTTTGTCTTTTCATCACCCATTTGCTTGGCTCTGTGTAGGGCTCAAAGCTGCGAACGTACATAGGGAAGGAAGGAAAACGCTGTTTGCTTCTAAAATCATCCTGGGTCTTTGTTCAAAGGACCTAGTCCAAGTGACCATCCCGCGTCATCCACCATGGAACGCGGGAAAGCGGCTTCAGTTTCCCTTGCATCTGCTGGGATTCATAAAGATCAATCCCTATGAAATATCAAAGCAGGGCAGATGCTGCAGGGTTGCAGCCACACGGGGTGAGCTGGGAACCTAAGATGGGAAGGTGCCTACTGGGTCACTGCTGCGTGGGTGGTTTTTTGCAACACGCTGCCATATACTCCCTTTCATAAAGCTGCAGCTTTCCACGATAGTGTTGGGAAGTCTCCTGCTCCTTGCCTCACTTCAAACTGCTCTAGCACCTGGCTGGTGTTATGGACCTTTTCCTAATTTTCTTCCTGAGGAGGGTGCAGAGTGCTTCTTTGAGGACCAGCAGTGCTGGGATGGCCATGGTGTGCTGATATGCTTCAAGACTAGGCACGGAGGTCCTGGCATCTAGCACCAAGTGTCATGGGAAAAGATTTTTATCAGAGAAAGGACTGAACTAAACTGGGGCATCCTTCAGAGCTCTGTCTCTGAGTATGAGATGTTTAGTTCCCTCCCCACCAACTTTTTTGTTATGCAAGGACTGCACCATCTGGATGGCAGATGATACCTTTACATTTGTCTGTTTTCAGTGTTCCTACTATAAATCATCTGATTTAGTTGGTTTCTGTTGCTTGAGCTCTTCCCAGTGTTTGAACTAGCTCTGCTTTAAAGTCAGGCTGCCCCAATAAGGAGCTTTCTGCTGGGACTCCTCCTCCTGCTGCGCCTTCAAAATATATATATTTTTATATATATGTATATATGCTCTGAATCACATTCCCTCACCACCGCAAACAGCTTTCTACATTGAATCTCCTTTTGCTCAGCCAAACAGGCTCCTTGCAGACAAAAGAGGGGTAAAGTGATGTCTGAATGAATACTGCTAGCCAGCCAAAATCCAGCGCTGAGCTCCACCAGATGCAGATAATTGTTCTTCTGTCTTTCTAACCAGTTTTCTTGCTTACTGGAGAGAAACCATGGTCTTTCTGGAGTTGTCAGAAACACAGCGGATTTTTATCTGTCATTTCTTTTCATAAGAAAAGAGGGTTTAAAAAAATCTGCTGATGTTGTTAGCAGACCCAGCCTGATTATGTAGTGAGTTTTTTGTTTCCTGGTTGCCTCCTAGTTTCACGCGCTGTCAACTAGCTATTGCACCAGTAAGTCAAGTAAGGTCCTCAGCGTTATGTGTAGTACCTGGTCTTCCTTGCATACGTTCATCCCCATTTCGTCCTGTCATCCTCTCTGCCATGCAGTTGGTTTCCAGACCTCCAGCAGATGAGATGTGGAGGCCATCCACATCTCCCACCATTTGTATTGAATGACTTCTCTCTTCCTCAGGGCTGTGTGTGTCACCTCCTTCAGCACAGTCTTGGATCATAACATATTTAGAGCACTCTCCATGAATTCCTTACAAGAAGTCTCAAGTGCTTTTTAAGACACCAGAGACCGCTTCTATTTTGTCAGCATTATTTCTGATTATGTCTTAATTTTCCATTTTTATGTGTGGCTAATTAACACTTAAACTTGCTCTTGAGGGAACTTCTCTGTTTAGTGTTTTAGACAGACCCACCACGTGGTCAGCACTAGTACGTGGTGCTGGAGCTAATGCTTCTCAGACCGGCTGGGTGGAAATGGTTTCAATGAATGTTTTGAAGCTGGGCCAGAGAGTGAATCAAACATGAATGACCATGAGTCACTTTGGAAAACAGCCCTGTTGAGGGCTCAGGGGGTGTCGTGCCTGCTGCAGATAGCTCTGCTTGCATGCACAGTGACTGCATGTTGGCTTTGAGGGTCCTCCTGGCTTGTCCTCAGCTGCAGGGCTGGAGCCTGCTACCTCCTTCGGGTGTGGGGAACTGCGCTATGGGTGCTGGGTATAAATGAACCTGGGCATCTGTCACGTAAACGCTGTGTTGCAGGAGCTGAGCATAAGATAAAGGAGCCAGTCTCTGCCCTGCTGGGCGACTGTCTGGGAAGAATGGAGCTGCAGAGGACGACACGCTCCCAAAGAGTTTGGTGCAGGGATAGCAGCAGGCATCCTATCTTGGCTGCTTTTTCTGGAGAAATCCTCGCATTGTCGTCTTCAGCATGCGTTTGCAGCGGGGCTTGGATGGTGCAACCTTGCATGATGCCTTTTGGCTTGGTAGCTTTTTACTGCCTTCACTGCACTCAAGTTCTGCACCTCCCCTCAGGGTGCCTACCCTTGCTGCCCAGAGAACGGTCCCACAATGCACAAGGTGTGTTGCCGTGCAGACAATGTCTTGTAGAGATGGGAACTGTCCATGCCCCCTGGAGTGACAGGTACACCCAAGGAGGCAAGCCAAACCCCTTCATCCACATCCCAGATCCCTGGACTACATCAGTAAGGGAGCTCTGACCGGCTGGCGGTGGCTGACCCCACTGCATCTCTTCTGCACAGCTCTGTTCCCACCCGCCCTGGGGTAAATGTGTGGTGTTGTTTTGCTTTAGTGACTGAGGGCTAATTTTCTTCTCCTTTCCTCTCTTCTAAAGGTGAACCCCACGCCGCAGGGTACACGGGCGCTGCTGAAAATGATGTACTGCCCGTACTGCCGAGGTCTGGTGTCAGTGAAGCCCTGTTACAACTACTGCTTTAACGTCATGAGAGGCTGCTTGGCCAACCAAGGGGACTTGGACACCGAGTGGAATACCTTTATGGGTAAGGCAATATGGGTTAAAACTGCATCTAAGTATATATCGATACTGTGTCCCTCATGTGAATGGCTTTTGTGAGTGACTGTGCTGAGCTACAACAGGTTTTTTAGGTGTCTCTGATGGGTATCTTTTCCTCCCGCATGTCTGTGTGCGCCTTTTGTAGTTCACACTGATTTCTAAATAAATGAGACTTTTGTTGTGACAGTGACCCTGGTTGCAACAAGCTTTAAGAGGATGGAGCTGCCGTGTGTGTTGGAGTGTCTCTTCTTGCTCTAGCAAGCATCTGTGCAAGCTGTTTTTTCCATACTATTTCTCATACCTTGTCACCGTAGAGTTTTTCTTTCCAAACGCTAGTTTTCCCACTCAGCAGACTAGGAGTCTCCCTGCCAGCCGCGGTGAGCTTTGGGAAAAGCTGTAGGCCTGTATTTTACATTAAAAAAGTGAATGGGACATGTGTCGGAATCTGTTTTTAAACAGCTCATTTGGCGCTTGGCCACCATCCTTTTGAAATGTCAATAGGCCTTACGTGACACTGTGCGAGTGCTTTTGCCATCCTCTTCCTCCTGTTTTGTTATTTTTCTTCTGTACTTGTAAAGGGTATTATTTGATCTATGAAATGTAGACCAAAATATTAAAGTCTGCCTTGGGTCAAGGCTCAGCAGAATTGGCAGTGCATCAGGTTTTGGGGGCATGGGCAATAGATACTGTTAAATGTTTTCATTTGCGCTCCTTTTCCAGGAGGCTTGATTTATCTATGCAGGAGCATCCTTTGGGAGCAGTTGCTTCACTCCAGTTAATGTGTGATGAAGTGCATGTGTAAAGTATCCCATCCAAAAAAAAAAAGGACTGGTAGAAAGAAAAGATTTCCCTTTCATTAAACTGTGAGATAAGAAAAGGGAAATGGCTGATAATTGGCATTTCAGGCTACATTTAAATCTTAGAACGTGTTTTGTGTGCTGGCTTTTCACTTTGCTGCCCGTGCCAACTGGATGCATGCAGAGTATTATTTTCAGAAGGCGTTTTTTTGCCTTCGTTTTCCATATAGGGAGTTAAATGTGACACTAAATTGTGTTTCAAGTCATTCTCTGGGAGGCTGACACCTCCCCCCCCATTCCTCCCAGTCTTTCTCATGAGAATATTAAGTATTTCAGCTACAATTGTTGCTGAAATAGCTCAAAGCCAGGAGACTTGCAAACATCTAGTCCAAGTAGAAAAGAGGAATCCCATGAAAGGGAAGGGCATAATGCCAGAAAACAGACAAAAGCACAAGCAGCTAATTGCTGTAGGTGGTATGCAGCTAAAAAATGAACCTCAGGGGAAGCCGGCAAGCCCTGTCGCACAAGACTGATCAGGGACTGCATATGATAATTAAGATTATTGAACAAGACTAAATAAATAAATGCAATTCCAGGTTGGAAGCTGAACTTCCTCCTCAAGGGACTTCTTGCCCACTCATTACTTAAGTATGGTATTAAGCTTCATTACGTTTATTGGCAGCATTTGTTTGGTTCTTGCACTGTGGGTTGATTCTTGCAGTGGAGTACAGATACTGAAAACTTAAACAGTGTTGTCTTTAGTCAGTTTAATAACCAAACAGGTTGCTGGTTATATTGCAGATTCTGGTTTTTATCTCAATTTGCCACTTGAGGTAAATTAAATTACATTAAATAGACGTGGTGGTTGGGGCAGGGCACGTGTCACAGATGTCCTGTGTGTTTAAAGCTTTAAATAAATAAAAAAGCAACAAACAAAGCAATGCCCCACAAGCTGCCCCTCAACAACAAACCTGCTTAATGCTGTTTTGCATCATGTGTTTAAATATTAAGTTGTTATAATGATTTATTACGTGTCAAAACCAGATTTTGAACCCGGCGAAATAATTTAAAGATAAATGGGAGAATGTGCAATAATTACTGCAAGCGTATATTAATCTGGGTGCATGTGTGTACAAAATATGCACGCACATGTTTTAGTGGGTCTATATGCAAGTCACTTGTGTAAAGCTTTTCCAAACTGGGATTTAACACTTGTAAATTTTTCGAGACAAAAAGTCTTTATAGTTCCTTACTTCTGCGAAGTACCATTTAAAGTTGCAGTATATGAAGTAATGACCGAGTTGTACTCTTTTCTCCCATTTAACTGTCTTTAAATTATTTCACCCTCTATTCCTGACACAATTGTACACCAATTAGACAGGGATATACTTTGTTTCAAACAAGCTATTGGGGGGTTGGTGCTTTCCTGAATGAACAGTGTTAATCTCCAGTGCCTTTTCATGATTTCCGCCCTCCACCCCCCACCAAAAAGGTTTACTCTGCTCAAAGATGTCGAATTCAGGCTCCATATACATATCTGGAATACTACTTTGTGTGCAAAGAATTTTTTTTCCCCTTTTAATAAAAAAAAAAAGATTGTTGTTAATGAATGGTCAAGGTCTTCCCCCTCCTTCCCTCTCCTTTTAAATCAGATCTTGGGGTTAAGACTGAAAACTGCCTTTTGTTCTTCAAGTCAGACAGTGAGGCTGAAGATGTGGGTTTCTGATTATTGGTGGCACAATGCGAAAGAATCGCTTTCCTTCATGAGAGCGAGGTGCTTTGTCGCCAAGGATTGTCTCAATGCCAGTAGCAAGGACAAATGTATGCAGGAGGAAAAGAGTCTTTAAGGGATGGGCTGTATGGTGTGTGTTGGGTCCCCGTCTCCCCCTCCTCAATCTACTTCTATCTCTCCATCACAGGGAGGAGAGGCAGTCTTTGTCGTGCTGTGTGTTTGTAATAAATGGTCAAGGTACATTTTTCACTCTGCCAGACTTTATTTTGTGAAGCAGATCTGAGCCACCTCACCATGGCTTGTAAATATCGATAATTTTGCAGCAGAGCTGGGGCAAAATAATTGATATTTATAATCAACTCCTCTCCCCCAGTAATGGAAAATCTTTTTTTGGAGAGGAGTTGCGCTGAAGCTTCATTTCTGGTTCGTGGAGCGTGCCTCCCCTCTCGATGTGCTAGCGTTATCTTGAACCCCAGCCAACCCTTTGAATGTCAGACGTGGCTGCCAGAGGGAATCACTGCTGGCCACGACTGCTGGTGGGGACACCAGCCAGCTCCTGGTGGGAGGTAAAAGTTTGGAGGATGCCCCCAGCATCAAAACTGTGGATGAGGCAAAGCCCCCACTGCCCTTGGTTTTTTTTGGGTTTGTTTTGGTGGGTTTTTTTGCCTTTTTAATGAAAATTTGTTTCATTTGGTGTTCCTTGCCAGTATCCATCCCAGCTCCTGAAGAGCTCCAGTTGAATATATTCTCCAAGGGCAATTATTACTTTCCTTATCTTTTCTCGCCAGCTTTGGCAGCTCTGCTGGAGGCCGAATGCATTTTCTCTATGGGCAGTCAAAGCGGAGGCTGCATTCCTGGGCTGTGATACATGTAACGCCATGGCACCGCTGCTAACAAAGGGCCCAATTCGCTCGACATTCCCATGGTCTTGTGGATGGCCTGCCCGGCTCAAAGTTTACAAAGACGCCAAACAGCCAGAAGAATTGGGGTTTATGTTTCCTTTCAGTCTTTCACAAACACTTTATTGATCTGCGGCCTTTCCTGGCCACTCGGAGAATTAAGTAGTTACAAAATGGAATGATTTTTTCTTTTTCTTTTCTTTTTCTTTTTAATTTTTTTTAATACTATGCATTTTGCACGTTTCATTATCTGTCTATTCATAATATTTCTATTAGAAATCAGCGGCTTCCTGCAAACTGCACCGGGTTGTTCTTTATGCACGTGAAAAACCCCAAAAGCTTTGACAATGATGAACACATTTAAGTTGTGCTCCACTTGTTTACAAAAGTCTCCATTTGGTAGCACATCAAAAGCATTTTTCTCCCCTCCGGCACAATGGTATATTCATGCTAGCAGTCATTACTCAGAGATTTGAAGCATCACTTTATTGGAGCCCACCACAATACAGTCTAAGACTCTTTGTTTCATTTGTTATTACCTTTTTTCTTTTTTATTTTGTCTGTCTTTTTTTTTTCATGCATTTGGTTCAGACCTGTTTGTAGTCCCTGACAGCAAAATTCCCAGCCATGCCCTGAAACAGCTCTGTCACTGATGCTGGTGGTGAGTACCTGCAGGGCCAGGGGCTTTCCTGGCGGCTCCAGCTCCTCCTGGGGTTCACTCCCTAAACACCAGCACCTTGGCAGAGCTGCTCGAGCTCCAGCTGATGTGGGTTTTAGGATGGGTTGATCGACTGTTCAACCCTTGACTAACACCTGGCAAATCTTTAGAATGCTAAGTTGCCTTTAAAAAGTGGATTTACAGGCTAGGAAGATGTCTGCGATTCATGTGGGGGGTTTGATGTCGGATTTATTGTTATTACTATTGTTACTTAAATACACAAATAGCTTAATTGTCTGTTTGTCATCAGTTTGTGGGTTTTTTAGTATAGTTTAACATCACTTAGGCACTAAGGCACAGTGATTACTAAATTGTTCAGTGTGTGGAACATCTTTATAGGACTTTAACAGGTAGCTGGAACCTACAGAAGTTTTCCACTTTTCCAAAGTATCTTCTGCGCTTAGAAGGAGGGTGAATGTCACAAGAAAGACTTTTCAAGAGAAATTAATAGCCTGACTGTGCAACGCCCATTTCTCCTTAATGGGAAGGAACAGCCATATCCTTGGGAGCGGGGAGGAGCTCCTCGGGAGAGGGTTTCCTCCAGGCCAGAGGGACTGTCGTGCCCTGGCTTCCTGCGTCATGCGGGCTAGGAAAAATTGAAGAATTAAATGCAATTGGAGAATTATGAGTTTGTGGCAGAGCATCAGCAAGTGACGCAGGAGAGGCCAGCAAACAGGGTGCTGCAGGGTTGAGGGACTGCAGTGAAAAGAAAGGTTAAATAAAGGTTGCGATGGGCAAGAAGAGACTAGTGCTCAGCACCAGGTGTGTACCTGGAGGCACCTTCCAGGGGAGAACCAGAGAGAGGGCTGAAATGCAATGCAGGGTGAAAGCCTTAATGCC